CAATCAATAGATGGTGTCATTTATCCTTCTGGTGCACAGGAGACTGTTCATCCCCAACCTGTAATGCAGCCATATTCTTATATACGACAGATGGACAGTCATCTCATTGTGACTGTGGCAGTTTAGGCCGGTTTAGACTGAAGGGAGGGCCACCTACCACCATCCCTCGGGAACAGCCATCCTGTCTTTCCCAGGTTGCCTGCAGACATCTCTCCAGTGAGTCATCAATAAACTGTGGGGTCACATTCTGGCATGTCTAATACATCTCAAAGGGTGACTGACACCGTCTGACTGATCATCCTTGCTCTCAGTGAGTAAAAATCTGTCTGGCTGCCCTTTAATTCTGGTTTACGTCTGGTGCCCAGGCCAGACGTCAGAAGGTCACAGCAGGGGCTAAAAGTCTCTGCCCACCTTCCTCATGGGATTTACCGTTCTTCTTCCAGATGCATGTGTGATGAGCAGAGAACCGTGTGATCATGGAAATAATGCTGAGCACCTCTGAACTGAAGTAACTCCCGTTTCTGTGCCCACAACCAGATTGAGAGTGCCTAATGCAAGGTTCTGCCCTCAATAACTCAGCTTACTGGGATTGCATTGGACCCTTGGTGAAATTACCATGGAATCAATAACAACACCTTTAGAAACTTCAGACCAATTTTTTTTTAAAGCAATTGTAGTTAAATCATGCATTCAATGTGATATTTTGATTTTAATATATTAATATTCATAATTCAGAGTTTGATGGGAATGTGTGGAGTAATCGGATCAGCCATGATCTTATTGAAAGTACACAACAGACTCAAGGGGCCCAATGGCCTAAATTGTATGCTCACATTGACATTGTCATTGTACACACCAATCTGAACACATCTGCAAAATTAATGGAATAAAGGAGACAAAATCTAACTTGTGAAATGTAACATTCATCCTCCACGGTCTAATTTTCTTCTGCTCACCCTCAAATGATTTGTTCATGATTAAAGATGTTGATCTTTTCCAGCTCTTTATTCATCCTACACTTTCCACTTCACTCTCTCAGACTGGAAGATCAAACAGATTTTGCTTTGTGTGCAGGAGGTAGGAGAATTGTGCAATTTCTCCGATATGGATCGAAGAATTAAAACCTAACTGAAAGGTGTTAGTTCAGGTTTCATGTAGGGATTTATAAGGCTATTGTTTTATTTTATGAATGAAAGATACAGGCCCTCATTAACCTAATGTCTTTATTCAGGATTAAGAGAACTACAAGAGAATGGTACGGGAGGACAACATGAGATACATTGAACAACATAACCTGGAGCACTTGATGGGGAAACACACATTCACTGTGGGAATGAACCGGTATGGAGATCTGGTGTGTACAAAGTGTATCGTCTGGGATCTATTAGATGCTGAATTTTGAGGTGCTGTTACTGAATGAACAGTGTTATCATAAGATCTCATTTTAACCAAGAATCTCACCTCCCTTATCAATATATATTTCTGGCAAGATAGATTCTCCTTTCCATTTTACATCCCATTTCATTCTGTTTGCTTCTGTCAAACAGGTAGTTCCATGGGCTGGGGCACTGTTTATATATCTGTTGTTCTTTCCTAATATAAAGCAGATGGTGGACAGGTTCACCACCAATTTGAAAATGACAGTGTTGACAGTACTCAACACACCAGCTGCATGAATCTCCCCTTGGCCCTCACCTCCTACAGTGAGAACTAAAACCCATCACTGGGATCAATGGAATGTAGACTTCAAGATCATATCTTATCATTAAAATCATTGGCAAATTGAGGAGAAACAAACTGGATTGTGAAAGTAAAATAATTTCTACATGAGGAATGAGGGATCCCAGTTCAAAAGGGCACTTTCCCTCCCTCCTGCCCTGCAAAAAAGACAGAAGCTCATTGGAAACCAGTCCAGAAGGACTGTCCATTCTTGCAGGATTTGTGAATACTACACAATGAATGTGGGTACACAATTCGAAACCAAAAACTGATGCTTGTGTAACACTACTTCTCAGAGTGATCAGAAGTAGGAACACTGCCCGACTTTCTCCTCTTACATTCAAGGGTCCCGAGGCCAATTGCAGACCTACTGCTTTAGCTGTGACCAGGAGTTTGTGGCAATGTTGATGATGGAATGTGAGATGCTGTTTACCTGGATGGCTTGGTTAAGCATTGATAAATTCAGCCATCATGGGGGAGATTTAACCCATTTCCCTCGTAATGAAAGTGCTCTGTAACGTTTTAATTATCATCTCCTCAAATTATTTCAAAGTGAGGCACACTTATAATCACTGCTGCCATCTTGATCATTGCACAATAGTCCAGAGCAACATTTTATCGCCTTCGGGCCCTCTATTCACCTTTACATTGAACTGTGAAGAAATTGACTCACCTAATTTTTCTCCATTTCTTTTTTTGAGACAGTAGTAGTGAATAGAACAGAATAGAACAGAAATTTATTGCCATGTGTACTTCAACATGAAAAATACAGTGAAAAGTTTTAGAAGTCATCACAGCATGGTGCCTATAAGGGTGGAGTGCCAGAGCAGCTTTGATCTCTCCGTTGGTTAAACCCAGTGAACAGGTGACAATGTATCTCTATGAGGTTATTGATCTTTGTCCTGCACAATGTCCATTCAAAAGTTAATCATTTCATAAGTGAGTGTCATTGTGTTTGATTGTTAGACCACTGAAGAGTTTAATGAACTCATGAATGGATTCTTCCAAGCTGAAGCTGATAACTCAACTGAAGAAGATGTTGATGAAGGAGATGATTTTGATGAAGATGTTGATGATCTTGAATCTGATGAAATTGAAGAAGGTGATGATGATCTGAAATTCGGAGCTGTCGACTGGCGTAAA